CTGCGGGATGCTTAGATCTGGCCTGCGGGGCCACCCTGGAAACAGCAAAGGACTGACCCGCGATGCCTCTGCCAGTGAAAATGGGGCTTGGCTCCTCCGAGCTTGGTTTTCACTGGCAGGAGCCTAGCAAAACGAACTAAAAGCAAAACAAAACAAAAGGAGAAATGTTTCCCCTTTTGCATTTGAGCATCCAAGAAGGGACAGGAAACGAGAAAGGGAAAGAGGAAAGGCAAAGAAAATGAAAGAAAGAAAGATGGGAAGAGAGCAAGGAAGGAAAAATAAGTAAAGAGGGGAAGGAAGAAGAAAGGAGAAGAGGGAAGAAAAAAGAAGGGAAGGAAGGAAGGAAGGAAGGAAGGAAGGAAGGAAGGAAGGAAGGAAGGAAGGAAGGAGATTATAATGAGAGGGAGGGTGGGTCTGAGGGAAGTACTGCCTTAGCACTTGGCCACCACAGGTGCACCGACACAAGTGATGTCGAGGTGACCACGTCCACCCCGGTCCCCTGAGATCAAACACAACCCTGATGCGGCCTTCAATGAAATCAAATTTGACACCCTTGGACTAGAATGTATATAGGCATTTCCAATTTATGTTCAATATGAAAATAACAAGGACATTTGATCATGCTTGGTGGTTGTATTTAATTTTTTTTTTCTGAATTCCGGCCTGGATTCTTCTGTTTCCAAGTCATCATTAAAAAAAAGGAGAGATTAGTTTTTTTTAATCCATTAATGTTGCCTTTGCATCTTCTACCCTATCTCTCATTCTCTGCAGCTTTCCATTAAATGAGGAGCATAAAGTATCACTGAATTAAATTCCAGAAAAGAAGAATATTCAGTCTTCTTGGCATGACAAGAAGACAGGGATGGGTTCTGCTGCTAATTAATTTCTTAGACATATAGTCCTATTCAAGCTGTTCACTTTCCCTAATACAGGTAATCTCCAGCTACAAGACAGCATAATAGGCTAGTCTACACTACACATCTAGGACGGTCTATCAGCTTGAAAAATTTCTGCCCCCCGTTTCATGAAGGAAGAGCTAGGATTTACTGCTGGCTTCATCTTTTCAGACCTAGCTATCCATAAATCAATAATGCAGGAAAAAGAATTGTGCTGTACTTCTTTGTACTTTCTCTTTTTTTGAGGACCCAGTACATGCAGGACTCTCAACAATTGGGGAATCTATATACAGCTATATACTTAAAGGAACTCCCTGCTTCAGGCTGTACTTAAACCATGCAGAGATGGGATATAAACCAGAAAACATGACCCTGTTCTCTCTTCAGTTGATTCGAGTACTGTAGGGAAGCTAATGTTTAAGCAAAAATAATAGCAGATTATCTTAAAAAAAAAGAAGCTTTCTCTGCACAGTTGTTCTGGGAGTGTTGCGTGAGTTATGTATTTATATAGGATAAATATCATTATCTGAGTCTCTGTAGGCAGCACTACTTTACTTGTGGAGTGTTTCATTACTGATTTGGTACAGACAATAGTCTCTTGCTTATGTCAGCAGGATCACTGTGTCAGTCTGCACAGAGCAAGAAAAGTAATCTGTTTAGCAGACAACTCATATAAAACACCAACAAATTTAGCTTGGGTCTTTGGAAATTCCTTTACACATTTTGCAGGTAATCACATGCTTTGGAGCCATGTATAGCATAACCTTCTACAACCAATTTTCCTCCAGTTGCTCTGGATTAGAACTCCCAGTGCCATCAGACAATGTGGCCACATAATTTCCATTGGCTTTAGGCAATATGAGGATAATAGGCATTGACGTTCAAAACTTTTATAAAGGGAAGCATGTTCAAGAAACTGTGATAGATCAAAGAAAACTTTTTATATTATATTTTATCCTTAAGTTAGAAAAAAAATAGTATCCTGATGAAGCTTATCTTCTTCTCCTTTCTTTCTTTCTTTCTTTCTTTCTTTCTTTCTTTCTTTCTTTCTTTCTTTCCTTCCTTCCTTCCTTCCTTCCTTCCTTCCTTCCTTCCTTCCTTCCTTCTTTCCTTTCCTTTCCTTTCCTTTCCTTTCCTTTCCTTTCCTTTCCTTTTTTTTTTTTTTTTACAAAATTTAAAACTTTAGGCAAAACAATTAAGAAATAATATCCATTTCTAAGATGTATCAATGTAGAGGAATGGTAATCTCTCACAAGTATTCTTGAGTATTCAGAATGGCTCTTGAAGATGAAGGAATAGCTGTGAACTAATTTATACTTTGAAAAAATTCCTGTACAGAAATTACACATGTCAATTAGCGTATATAATAATTCTACACATAGATAAGATCATTTTACACATTGGGCCATTTTTATCTGTGTCTTCTATCAACACCATGTGAGCTTGGTGTATCTCCTGAGTTAGGAGAGGCACATTTTTAATCTCCAGCTCTAGTATCCAAGAATTAGAACACAATGCCTCTTTGCCCACTCATTCAATAAAGTGGATATAAAGGGTTCTTGAGCCCTGTTGCCAGGCAGTGAGTTATTTGTAATAGCATTGTAAGGCAGATGTGAGTAATCAACATTCAGTTTTGCAACACCATCAGTCAAAGCATTCCTAAACATTTTTTCTTACAGAATAGGTTTAATTGTCAAATTGAGGCTTCTTGTTTTTAATACAGAGGTGTGCCACCTTTTCTAGCAAAGAATTATTCTTGATTTGTGAGTTGCATGAAAGCAGCCATACTTTCAGAGCCAAGGAGCACCAGGAGAAGAAGTCAGAGGGGTCAGGTCAAAAGGTAAAATGGATTTAATTCAAATTTTATTACCATGAATTCAATAATGCTCAATGTATTTAGCTATTTTTGGTACATTACAACTCCAGCTCACCAGTAAGCATTGGAGGGAATCTATGAATTTGCATGTTCATATTTTCAAGCTTCAGTTTTGGTATTGGTCCTCAGACTTTTTGTTCCATAGGGTTAAAATAAAGGAATTTCTAAGCAATTTGTTATGCATATAATGCCATACAAATGCAGGGTAGACTGACTAACATTTTCTGACTATTTACACAGAAGCTGAATGGATAATATTTTTAATGATTCAGCTTTAAATTCTTCCCTATATTGGCAGAAACTCACTTCAGGTGCTTCTCCATGGAACATCCCTAAAGTACTCTATAGATGTTAAGGATGTGCAAAGTGATGAGGGTGCATATGGACAAAGAGTTTTGACTGCAAAGGTGGATGATGCAGTTCTCTTTTCAAGGCAAATGAATTGCCTATAGCAAATTCACACATGTTGCTTCAAAAACACATCCACCAAAGCCTCATACAGCTATTCAGACTGTTAGAAGAAGTCTTAGAAGAGTCAATGTTTTTTGGAGAAAAAAAAATCAGTGCATATGAGAACAAACCATCACAGCTCCCAAGTTATCACTTTTATCACCCACTCCTTCCACTACTTCATAAGAACAAGTTGGTTTCTTTGTAGAGGATATCACAAAGCCATTTGTTTTACTAAGAGGGTTTATTGTCTGCATTTCCACTGTAAAATAATTTGCCCTAAGAGAGCTCATATAACAACAAAAGCAACAGCAATTGAGCAGATACATACATAAAAAAATAATAATAATGAGAGCAGATATAAACTACTTTAAAACGAAGGATTAATTCAGAGGAACACATCAACTAGAAAAATCAGCTGCTTGCTGGCAATAAAATATCTTTGGAAAAAGGAAAAGTGAGGCTTAGTAGAGTACATGCCTTGGAGGATGGCAACCCCAAGTTTTGATTTCTAGCAACTCCAAAATGTTAAAAACATATTGAGCTATGTGGAACAATGAACTGTCTTAGGAGAAATTACATTTTTATTTGGTAGGCATATATAACTAACCACAATCCAGGGTATATTTTTTCCCATCACAACAATCCTGTGTGGTGGAATGGATTGAGAGTTACTAGCCAAAAGTGAGCTTCTGTGGTAGAGTAAAAATCTGAATTTTCATAGTCAAACAGCATGTTCCTAGTCTAACAGTCTCCCAGTGTGACTTAGCATAAGAGTGCTTCCTGTGACTCTTATGCAATGAGTTCTGCAATCAAGCTACGATCATAGAGATTAGAGATTATTTCCATGCTGTTGCTTGAATTTCTCTATGAAAGATATTAGGTAACTCCCCACAGGTGGTGAATCAGAAGGGAGTGATGGGCACAAACCATTGGAGATAAATGGTCCTTCAGAGATCAAGCACTGTGACACAAATTTTGAATTCCACTCAGAAGTAAATAGGTAACTAGTGCAGTTTGAATCATACAAGCATATGATTGCCTACATTGCTGCATTCTGGATTAACTACAGAATAGGTTCTGGATGATTTTCAAAGGCAGCACTATGTAGAGTTCATTACAGTTATTAAAAACATGAGACTTCTGACTCCCTATCTGCATTCAGATAGGGTTGAGTTCATTGTGGGGAAAGAATTTGGCCAGCAATTTGTTTTGTTGTTGCAGAGGCAAACATGGCTTCCTTCTTTGACAATCTGGATTCATTTTGGTCTAACTTGGTTGGGAGAAAAATGGCAAAAAAAATGACCCCCAAAGGTTTTACACAATGGCCATTTTGTGTGAATGTGTGAGTGAGAAAGAGCTTTGAAATAAAAATTCTGAAATTGTTTTACATCTTCAAAGAAAGTTTGCCTCAAGACTAAACACATGAAACAGCCTTATATGAATTAGATCACTGATATTCTAGCACCATATCTCTTTTGCAAAAATATTTCCATTAATTATACTAAGTTTTATTGACATTGGCTTAATTACTTTGCTATGTAGGCAGTCAAGAGACTCAAAAGAGGTAGCATTATTGAATTTATCTACCCCCGCCCTACCTTATAATAACAATATTGCCAAATGCTGAATTTAAACAAAGCTATAATGATCTAGTTAATATGAAGGTCTGATAATGCCTATAATGTTTTAGCAGTGATTCTTCTGTGTTGTATAATTATATTTATAACTTAAGGTGAAACAAAAATATTTTAAAATGTTTTAAAATGAAGGCCCATTACTATTTGGAAATTTAACATCTGCTGAAGTTAGCAGTGGTTTTTGATTTGGTATCTAAGATTTGCACGCTAAAATATTATTCATGACTGTGATTTCTATTCAAACAGTTTACGAATAAAGGACTTTTTTGCAGGACTCAACATTTTCATAGGCTTTTTTCTCCGTAATGCTTTCATGGGTTTCTTTTCTATAGGAGGAATTTCCTTGGGAGTTTTCAATCCCCTTGCCAAACTGATATGTTCAGTGCAGAAATACTTGATATCTACTTGTGACAAATAAATAAGCATATTTTCAGACAAGTCCATACACTGAGCATGGACCCAGTGGCCCTCACCATTTGAACAAAATATCATGGCTGGTTTGTTGAGTTCTGTGGAGTACAAGGGCACCCAGGTGTTGATGTCAACATCACAATCTGCACAGCAGGTGATCCAGTAGCCCGATTCAGCCTCATTTTCATTATCATCTTCATTACAGGTGTCCGTATCTATGTCAAAGCTGAAAGTGAACTCCTCTGAATCTTCAAAAGGAGTGGACTCTCCAGCATCTTCTGTAGAGCTCTGACTACATACTTGTGCCATCTGTTCTAAGCTCTGATCATTTTCTACTTGACATTTTAATATGTAGAAATAGTTTGCATCTGAAGTCAGTTGCCTATTGTCTCCTGGTATACCAAATAAAATGGATCCATTTCCCATATCACTCCCAAACCATATCTTGCAGTGCTTGATATCTGGAGTCCATTCTGGTGTCTCTGTTTCCACTATCTCTATTTTGTTATCATCTAGGTTGATAGTATTACAGATCATCCTTTTCTGGTTGTCAGAATGGTAACCTCCTACAACAACAAATTCCTTTTCTCTGGTCTGTGTCATGATGGCACTGGAGATTGAGATTCCTCCAGGCAAAATTACACAGCTCACAGCTGGACTGCCTAAGGGAAGATCAATTTTTATTTTATAGAAATTGGGAGGTCTGATATTATTTTCCAGGGAATGTCCTCCTATGATATAGATAATATCATTTTGGACAAGAGAGAGATGAAAAGAAAAGCCATTCTGAAGTTCTGGGAGAGCATATGAAGTACAACATCCGAATTCAGGGTCAACCAGAAATATATGCGGCATACAATCAACCACACTATTCCATTTTTCAGTTGTCCTCTGTCCAAGAGCTATGTAAGATCTTCCCCCAATTATAACTATCATACTTTTGCCTAGACTGTGAACCACATTAATAGTATGGCCGTATCTGCCTTCAGGGATCTCTCCAACTAATTCTTTTTCAGTACATGTAAATGTGACTTTTTTGTTATTCTTGCTAGCCAGACATATAACATACAGTTTATCAGAAAGTTCATTGTTTGGTGTTTTCCCTCCATGGATGAGATATTGGCATTTCTCTGACTCTTTGATAGTGCAGATAGCAGGATATCGTAGGGGAGGAAGGTAGCAGGAATCCTTGGAAAAGCATGCCGGCTTCAGTTTAAGTTCATCCTTTTTGAAATCAAGAAGGAAAACCCCAGTAGGACAGGACCTCTTTGGCCAGCCCTTCTGTCCAAATAGGAAAACTTGCCCATCAAAGTTCATCAAAGAAAATCCTGGTTGAATCAGAGAAGAATTGTTAATGGTTGGTATCATCTGAAGAGACATCTTGTCTGGCAAAGAAGTCATGCTGTCGTCTATTTCTGAGAAACAGAGAACAAGAACACAAATCATGGGATTGTCAGTTTTGTTACCACTCGATTGGGTGTGACATTGCCTGAACAAATGCAATACATTCTACATGGAGCTGCCCTTGAAAAGTTTCTAGAAATTGCAACTAGTACAAAACGTGGCATCTAGGCTGCTAACTGATCTAAGGGACAAGAATAGTATGAAGCCTACATTTAAATATCTGAACTGACTATTAATATCTACTAGGCACAATTTAAGATACTGAGCTTGTTGATCAGAAAGGTCAGCAGTTCAGTGGTTCGAATCCCTAGTACAGGTCTCCTGCATAAGCAGGGGGTTGGACTAGATGACCTCCAAGGTCCCTTCCAACTCTGTTACTGTTAAGGTATTGCTATTAACCTTCAAAGTCCTGAATAGCTTAAGCTTAACTTAGTAAGGGTCTCCCTCTCCTCTTCTGAGATTTTGTCTCTTTACTTAGATGAGCATGAAAGACCCTTTGACAGATGCTCAGAAATCTGATATGCCTACCCTAAAATCTTCCCTCTGTTTTTTTTTTGGTTGTTGTTTCTTTTGCATCTTTGTGGTTGGCGCTCAGCAATGGATTGTTTTGTAAATAAAAGTCAGAGATTCTGGAAAAAAAAAAATCTGGTACGTGATTTAGGGGTGTGTCGCGTGTTGTCCCAGACTATGGGAAGCTCTCCACATAGAGGTGTTTTTGCTTCCCATTCTCTCCATATTTAGGGCAATGGCAAAAATGCATCTCTTTCATCAAGTTTTTAACTCCTAATTAAACAGAAAGGTGGGGTTCATTCTTAATAATGATAATAATAGCAGCAGCAGCAACAACAACAATCTTGTGGCCCCAACATCATTGCCTTCAACTGAAATAATACCACATGATTTTTTTTTCTTAATTCCTTAAGAAAAATGCTAAGAACCTGGCAAGAAAAAGAGTACTAAAATGAATAAACAAAATAAGATGCAACAGAGATTGGGCGAGATTTCTTAGTCCTGCTGCAGAGGAATAAATGTTTAGTGAGGTTTTACAGGAGCAGAACAATAATAGAACCGTGCATACCACTTTTTGCTCAGCTAAATAAAAAGAGAGGGAAGATTGGAAAAAATAAATGAACAGCAGGATGGATCCTTCAAATTGGATCAGTTCTGCAGCCAGATGTTGAGGAAAGAGGAACTTGGACTACACAAGCTGTCCTCAAGCTAAAGCCTTGGCTTATGTAGATCTCATCCTTCTGGTACTTTCTATGCATAATTTATACTGAAATCAAAATGATATGGGTGAAAGAACTGCCATAATCTTCCACAACTGCCTTTCATTTCAAAGATAAGGCCAATCTACTGAGTCCAATCTAATGCCCACTAAATAGTAATGTTTGCATGTGTAGACTAAGCTATAAAGTTCATGTTTTCCTTTTCCCACAATCAAAACTTTTTTTTTTGTGGTGAGGATTACATTAAGAAAATATATTTTGTTTTCATATTGGTTAGTTGTAGTTTCATTATATATTGGAAAAGTAATATATGAAACAGTTTCATTCAGTTTCATATATATACAATATTATTATTATTATTATTATTATTATTATTATTATTATTATTATTATTATTATTATTATTATTTAATCTTTAGTGAGATTCACAGCCTTTGAGGCTGGTTAATAGCTTCAGCAGCTCGAGTCCTAACCAAGGACCTAGGAACTGTTAAGGTATCGTTGGAGTAATATTATTATTATTATTATTATTATTATCATTTAATCTTTAGTGAGATTCACAGCCTTTGAGGCTGGTTAATAGCTCAGCAGCTCGAGTCCTAACCAAGGACCTAGGAACTGTTAAGGTATTGTTGGAGTAATATTATTACTATTATTATTATTATTATATTATTATTATTATTATTATTATTATTATTATTATTATTATTATTATTATTATTATTATTATTGGAACTTGTATGCCGCCCTATCTCCAATGGACTCGGGGCGGCTCACAATAATTAAAACAAAACAAACAAACCATTAAAACAAAAATCCAGGTTAAATTTAACAAAAATTCAATAAAACCCAGTTAAAATTCTATTAAAACCCCCATCAGTCCAGGGTGACCAGGTGAAATAGCCATGTTTTCAGGCCCTGGCGGAAAGAGCGAAGGTAGGGGCCCACCTGGAGCTCCAGAGGGAGTTGATTCCAAAGGGTAGGTGCACCCACAGAGAAAGCTGTCTCCCTGGGGATAGACAGCCGACGCTGTCTGGCCGACGGCACCCTGAGTAGGCTCGCCCTGTGGGAACACACCAGGCGATGGGAGGCTGTTGCTGGCTGCAGATGGTCCGCCAAATATCCTGGGCCTAAGCCTACAAAAGCCCTGGATATTATGTTCTCCTCCCCTCCCCTCCTCTCCTCCCAGATGGCTGGGTAACAAATTGACCAGATTTAGGTTGATTCTAAACTATAATAAGTATGAATGACTCCAAAGATGCAATTATATTCTTAATCTGTGGCATTCCAACTGCTGCTAAATCCCATTTCCAGCAGGTCAGGATAAGTAATGGTGCACAAAACTTGGAAGTGAGTTCAACAAAAGCTGAAGGACAATATTCCTTCTGCTCTACTTAAGGAATATGACCATACATGAATGGGCTAAATAATCTAGCAACCTACTTTTACTATCCCATTATTATTTGTGTGAATTTAACAGAGTCATTTCTTCATGAGACAATGGCCCTCACTCTGCAAGAAGACCAATGGGATAGTTGATGGATATTGAATTCGAGTGAGGTAATGCTGGCAACCTCTTACATTGGGAGATAACTGACCATAACCCTACAGATTTTGGCTAACAAATGTTTTTTATTCCATGGAGAAGGAACCATTGTGAGACTTGGGACTGAAAATGAGCAAGGACCATTAATTAAAATCTTTTCACATGGATACTGCTCTCATTTTAGAAGAGTGGGTCTGAACTCTTATCCCTGTCCTTTTCTCCTTCAAATTTTTTTCATTAGGTCTTCTATTAATTTATAATGCTTTTATATAAAGACAGATTACATAACATTATATGACACTAGCCTTCTCCAATTTCCAGATAAATAGGGTGGCAGGTTTGCAAAGACTGATATGCACAGTGCAAATAATGCACTACTTAAACCTTCTTTGAGAATGTTTAATTACTTTGCCAGAATTGTTTTACTGGGTTTTAAAATTTAATTATATATGTGTGTATGTGTGTATACACCCATCCACCTACACACCTAACATCAGTTATGCTTGATAGCTTTACAAGTCCTTAGTATAGTGCTAAAAATGCATTGCAAATTCCTTACTTCCAGTCTTCCATTTTTAATTGCATTTATTTAGCAATTCTAACAGGCCAGTTTACCTGTTAGAAGTATCTCATAGTCTTACTCTAAATGGTAGGTTGCATGACAGAGAAGCAGTTATTGAGGGTACAACCAACTGGCCCCCAGGAACTCATAATAGTTGTGATGGCTTGGCATCATTGTGTGCTCACATACATAGATGGTCATAAATCTAATTTTTGACAGCAGCCGTTCTATACAGGTAGTCCTCAAATTACAACCATTTGTTTAGTGACTGTTCAAAATTACAACGGCACTGAAAAAAGTGATTTATGACTGGTTTTCACTCTTATGACTCTCGCAGCATCCCCATGGTTGTGTGATCAAGATTTGGACGCTTGACAACTAGCTTATATTTATGATGGTTGTAGTGTCGTGGATCATGTGATCACCTCTTGTGATCTTCTGACAAGTAAAGTGAATGGCAAGCCAGATTCATTTAACAACCATGTTACTAATTTGACAACTGGAGTGATTCACTTTATGACTATGGCAAGAAAGGTTGTAAAATGGGGCAAAACTCACTTAACAACTATCTCACTTAGCAATAGAAATTTTGAGCTCAATTGTGCTTGTAAATTGAGGACTACCCGTATTTAGCATAATAATCCCTGAAGAATTTTGTATGCATGAGCCTATGTTTGTATGTGTGCATATGTGAAATATTTTCAGAAAAAAGTCAGTGGAGAAAAAAACATTTGAAAACAATCATAGAATTGATTTTTTCTTTGTCTTCTTTGAATGATTATCTTTGTCTTTAACATTTCTAAACCTCCATTCCCAAAGTTAGTTCTCATTTTAGCAATAGCAACAGCACTTAGACTTATATACCGCTTCATAATGCTTTACAGCCCTCTCTAAGTGGTTTACAGAGTCAGCATATTGAACCCAACAATCTGGGTCCTTGTTTTACTGACCTTGGAAGATGCAAGGCTGAGTCAACCTTGAGCCTGGTGAGATTCAAACTGCCAAACTGCTGGCAGCTGGTGATCAGCAGAAGTAGCCTGCAGTACTGCACTCTAACCACTGCACCACCGAGACTCTTTTAATGTCACTAGTCTAATGCACAATTATGTTTAATATGCATAGGTTCCATACATTCCAGGTGTTCAAGACAGCAGAGATGGTGATAGTGCTTTTATTTGAAATTCAAGGTACTGTGAAAGCTTTTGCTGGTTTTAGCAAATAGGATTAACCGATTAGGTCTACTACATTGAAAAAATGCAGAAATGTGCACATGAAAAATATAAAGCAGCATAAATAATGAAGAAAAGATGATACCTTAAAATTGTGACCCAGGGACTGTAGTGATTTCCTCCTTGCCCTGAAGCCTAGTGGATGGATAGAGAGGAAGGGCAGGTTAATGCTTTAGAGTAAGTATTAACTCTCCTGCTATACTACAGATGATGACCATTGAAAACACTGAATTCCAAATGAATTTATATTTACTTTCTTAAAATTTCTTAAAAGCGTTTGATGTTTTTAATCACAAAAACATCAATGCAGTATTAAAACAAAGGAAAAAAATACATGGCGTTTATTAGACAATGTGTAAATCTAGTTTGGAAAATTACAAAGAATGCACAATATGATATTTGTGTATGCCCAAGTGTGCCTAGTATACATTTATATGAAAGTATGACTCAATCTCAATTTATATATATGTATGTATGTATGTATATAAAAATTATATCTAAGGTTTATTGCAGAACTCTTGGCCACTTTTATAAGATAATGCACCCAAGTTCTTTTAAATATTTTGTCTACTCTGAGGTTCTTCTCCTCTTACTGAAACATGCATATATCATTTCTCAAAATAACTTTTTTTTTCCTACAGAAAGTGCATATATGTTAGTTTTGGGACCTACCTGGGTGATGGAGAATTTTGCTTCGTATGGTTATATTTGCATCAAAAACAGAGAATCAAATGTCAATACTTGTGGATCTTTCTTTGACTGCTTTGTGGCACAGAAATGAAGCCGGGAGGAGAAGTGTTTGTTTAGTCTGCAGATGTGCTCTTGAGGGCTTCTTGATTGATGTGACTAACTGACTGTGACCATTTCCCCCACTTCAGATGGTGTAGAAGGAAACTTACCACTCGTTTACAGCTTTAACCCTTACAAGTCCTAGCAGTGCTGAAACCTGAAAAGCGACTAGTCTTAGGGTATTTTTCTATCTAGAAAAACATTAATTTATGGAGCCTGGAGGATTTGAACATTGCAGATATTTTAGAAATTTGTGAGCTATAACTCTAGCAATGCAAATTATTTCTTTTAGGAAAAGAAAGGAACAAATATGTTTCTATCACAAGGAGCTAAAAAGGTGAGAATCCGTTTATACCTTAAACAGACTGCAGCAATTATACTTACACAAAAATATAACTGAGCATCGCTCAAAGGCATATTTCCACGATACTCTTAAAAGTAAGGACACAACAATTTATTTAGATGCCCTAAAAATAGTAGCACAGTATGGTTAATATAGGTTGCTTACACTCTAAACTAAGACAACTTCCTTCCTTCCTTCCTTTCCTCCTTTCCTCCTTCCCTCCCTCCCTCCCTTACTCACTTCTCCAAATCTTCCAACAACAACCCTGTAAAGCAGATTGGTTTGAAAAAAAGTGATTTGCTCAAAGTCAATGTGACTGGGGGCAGACTTGAATCTGGTGCTAACAATACCATGCTCGGTTGCTTAATAATAGGGGTGGGACAGGGTGACACCTATTCCTATAAAGTAAATGATTTTCAAGCATTTCTGTTTGCTATCCATATTTCTTCATCTTAAGAATTCATACAAATATTTTAGATTTTATACCTTGAAAATGAAACGAGTGACTAGCCATTATTTGGTTTGTTTCTAATATCCAAGTGAAATTATCTATACTCCTTTGTGAATTCTATAAACATTATAGGCATCTGCACGATTCATCGGTTTCATCAAAATGAGAAAAGCAACATTGCCAATTCACGATGAAAGCCCCACCCTTTTCTTGATGTCATGACATATACAAAGGGAGGAGTTTATACGAGATTGATGTGGCATTGCTTTCATCATTTGCCCCCTCCTCTTTGCATTCCCCTCTAGACACCTGATGTCAGGAATCGGCACCATTTTGTCTCTCCATAGCTATAGATGCTAATAGTCGGGACTGCCAATCTGTTGCAGCACTTGAAATTGAAGATGAAGCTTCCTTATTATTGATAGCTTCCTCTCACTTTCTTCTACTGCCATCTTCTATGCCTTGATTGGGAGTGAACTTGGAGCAAACTTTAACATTTTCCAATGGATGATGTTCTGTCCCCAGAGCATCTGGCATTTCCCATAATGCAATCTCTACATTTCCCACAATGCAATCTCTTAAGGAGACAGCTCTTAATTTTTAGGGTAACTAATTCACTATAATTCACCATCTGAAACAGCACAAGTGATAAATCTCTGTGCATAAAGAGCCTGCTTAAGGTCTGACAAGTGCTTTGAACAGAATTAGTTAGAGATTATATAGGCTGCTGATTTTTCAATGCCAGATGTCTGTCTCTCTCACAGTCCAAGCAAGGCAGGATAATGTTCAATGACTAAGAGCGAGAAAGTCGACTCACAGCAGCCTTAGCTTTAGGCTAAGTAGGTACCAGCCCAGGGGTACCAATGTTTAAATGGCACTAGTGGTGGGATTCAAAATTTTTTACTACCAGTTCTGTGGGCGTGGCTTTGTGGGCATGGCATAGCTTTGTGGGCATGGCAGGGGAAGGATACTGTAAAACCTCCATTCCCTCCCCACTCCAGGAGAAGGTTACTGCAAAATCCCCATTTACTCCTGATCAGCTGGGACTTGGGAGGTACAGAATAGATGGGGGCAGGATCAGTCAGAGATGGTATTTACTGGTTCTCCGAACTACTCAAAATTTCCACTACCGGTTCTCCAGAACTGGTCAGAACCTGCTGAATACCACCTCTGAATGGCACCAACATTGAAAAGACCTGTGAAAAAACACAATAGAAAAAAGCAAAAAGCCATAATTATGCACACTGCAAGCCAACATGTTTGCTCGAGGGTTAAATATAATTTTGCAAAAATTATTGCCATATGACAGCAATGGGTGCTGTTGTAATCAAAATTAAAGTTTTGTACTGAAAATAGGATGAAAAAGTCTGAAAAAAAATTGTCTGGGGTTCAAAACCATAAGTGTAATGTTTGAGAAATCTAGGAAAATAAATAAATAAAAGGACACCTTTTTGATATTCCTAGCAAAATCAGAAAATAAGTCAATTCATAGGGAACACCAGACTATGACTTTGCCTAGATTGCCAAAATATCTAGAGTTGACCTTGATGACCAATAGGAACTGGGAGCATCCTATTCCTGCCTACTTCATCCACCATGTCGTTAGAAAAGCATTCAAATTCACTTCCCTGATAAAAGAGGTGTCCGGAACAGAAGAAATGACTCCACTGCGAATTGGGGATGAAACAAAACAATGTTATAAGAACATCTCATAGTTATGTGAATTAATATGAGGATGAGTCCTTAGTTCAAAATATGTTTCCCATAACTATTGTTTTAACTTGGATATCCAAGTACTGTATTTATTCTGCTTATTTTCTTTTTGTTGCTAGCTAAATTGTGTTGACTAAAGAACCATGACATAATGTTACAGAATACCACATATAAATGGGTAATGTGTTGCTGGGGCTGAGTTACATTTTTCAGTGTTTAATGGAATTAATAACTGTGTAATTGAAAGCATGCTAATCCTCAACTGACCTCAGCTGTAGCATTCCTTATTTGACTTAAACAATGGGGAGGAGGATTCTCATTTGGAGACACATAAATTGATTCTGCACAATCTGCTGATGATCAGCAAAGCTTAATGAATGATAGCCTCAAGTAACCTCATTACAAAGAACATGGATGGATGAGCAGTGAAATGCATATTTTTCAAAGGAAAGAAAGTGGTTTCTGCTTCGGTGAATCATTTTCAGTTTCAACTCAGAGTTTCCAGTATGCTATTTTCCATGCTTAAGAGTAAAATCTGTTATTATTATTAACAATTCTTGGGAAAAATGTGTGCATTTGATTAATGAAATTTCATGCAGAAGAGACCAGTGATGCCATTTACAAGGGACAGCTGAGACTCGCTAGAACAAATGAAGTGATTCCTATGTCCTCTTATATAAGATGTAGGTGAATTCAATGGGATTTATTATAGGCAAATGAAGGATTGCGCTGTTGAGTTTTCCAAAATATAAGCCACAATCAGGGGTAGGTTCTACTTACCTTTACTACTGGTTCGCAATGGGATTGCATGTGCGCACTTGCTTTGCTTGCCCACGCGCCTTGCTTCTGTGCATACACAGAAGCTTCTGCGCATGCGCAGATCGCCGATGTTGACATCCAGGGCGGTGGGCGGGGCCTCTTGCCAGTTTTACTACTGATTCTTGTGAACTGGTCTGAAGCGGGGGCAACCCACCACTGGCCACGATCCAGATAGGCCTAGGCTTGCCCTACACACCCCTGCCTTCCCATATGATCTTCTTACTTGCCCAGAAAATACATTCAGGCAAAGAATTCTAACAGATATACAGAGATACATCATTCTTCTAATACCCCTGATATCTGTAGTACTTGAGAATTGTTAATTAAACAAACAAACAAACAAAATATGTGCACATATTAATTCTGCCTCCACTTGACAGAAAAACAGGGATTTAGGGCTCTTCTCTTCCCACCCCATCTGTTTCTTGGAAAGCAATACTTCTTAATTCAATAATTATTCTCTTTGTTTTCATAAGTGGAATCTGCCTCTGATTTCCTCACTTTGATGGCACAAACAGGCCTATCTCCCCAGCATGTTTCCTTCATCTTATCCCCAGAGATAATCTTTTGGGTATAGTGGTTTAACAGCAGTTATTCTGACACTGTCAAAGGTGACCATATGAAAAGGCTTATAATGCATTACCTTGGATGGAAATTAGGAGGCTGGGAACAGAAGCAGAATAGCGATAAACAATAGGGATAGCAAATTTCACACCAGTGTGGTCTTCTGTCAACCCAAGGTTGAGTGGAAAGCAATCCAGCCAAACAGTGGTTAAAAAAAAAAGATTAACTTAGATATGGCATCGGACTGGGGTATTTACGAGACCGCCTTCTGCTACCAATAGCCTCTCACCGACCAGTACGCTCCCATAGAGAGGGGTTCCTCAGGGTGCCGTCGGCCAAACAGTGTCGACTGGCGGCCCCCAGGGGGAGAGCCTTCTCTGTGGGGGCACCTACCATCTGGAACGAGCTCCCCCCAGAGATACGGAGGATCCCGGACCTGCGCACGTTTCACTGTGCTCTCAAAACTTTTCTATTTCAGCAGGCTGGCCTGGCCTAACTCTCCTCTTTTAAATTTTTTAATTTGTGATTTTATAAATTGGGTGTTTTAATTTGTATTTTGGCCAAAATATTTAATAATTTTAAGGGATTTTTAATATTTGTATTATCTGTATTTTATCTTGGCTGTTCACCGCCCTGAGTCCTTCGGGAGTAGGGCGGTATAGAAATTTGATTAATAAATAAATAAATAAATATCAATTAGTTTCAATTTAAAAATTGATAACTGCCAAGGCTAAATGCACCTGCACTTTTAGAGTGGCTATTAACTAACTCAAATGACCATTGCTTCTGGGTAGACTGTTTAAATGTTCTGCTTGAGCCAAAATGAGGATGGGCCACCTACTCTTTCCAAAAGTTAGGACTATATAACATTGTTTTCAGCATACCCTGACCTGGCTGGAAAGGCAGCCTCCAATTGCTTTCTCTTGCTCTGCCTAAAGATATTGTTTTCCAATCTCAGCTGATTATCATTAATTAGATGCACTACTAGATCCTGCACTGGGCAAGAGTTAGATTGGAGAACTTCTAGGTGCA